TTATTCCGCAACTTACGGCACGTCGAGGTGCGGTTAAGCTCCGTTTACGCAGCGGAGTTTCTCCTATCCCCGATTTCCTCGGAGCTTTTGTCGCAATCTCGGCTCCCTCTGCGCTCCTGGTTGGTCTTCGCTAGTTCGCAGACTGGTTCGGTTACAGTTTGCGCCGTTCGCGCAACAGTCGGGACCGTCGCTGGTTAAAGAGAAATTAACTCCCGGAATCGTTCGCCGGGAAACACGATGCCGTGGTTAAGAATCGCGGTTGCTGGTATTAATAAGCCGTCTGAGTATCGGGGAGGAATCGAGAGTTCGGCAAACGAGCGTAACTGGCGCGTTCGATAGGTTCCGTGTTTGCGGATCTGCTGGATGATCGGGTGATTTGGGGAGGGACGGACGGAGACGCGAGGATTTACGCAGAGGAAGCACGGGAAGACGATGTTTGGTCGCGACGTGACGGTTTAAGGAAATTTAATTGGGTATCATCAGCATGCCGGCGTTGCCAGCGACGCAGCCCATTCGTTTGCTTAACTCGCAAGGTGTTTGCATTTATGAGATTGCTGTCGGGTTGTGTAATCGAGAGAAATACAATTGGAATCACATGTTAAGCATGCTTTGTTCGAAAGGAATGCTTAGTCACGTCTTAAAATTACATGTTATTGATGAACATAATAGATAGTTGAATTACTGTTTATTCTGATACTTGAATTCTCGTTCAAATTTCCTCGTAGCATTTATTTTTATAACATCTAGTCCGGGATTATTTTTCACGGGAAACGTTGGTCACTTTCAAAAAATAAATATTATAGAGGAATATAATAGATAATCGAATTATTGCTGATCCTGATACTTGAATTCTCGTTCAAATTTCCTCGTAGCATTTATTTTTATAACATCTACTTGAATCGGAATCTCTAGCTGGGATTACTCGGGCAAACAATAAAATGAAGCGTACATTGCTAATGGTCGTAATTGACGAACGCGATGGTCGTGATCGATAAAACATGGTCAAGTAATTGAGTGCAAATGCGTTCAATTTGTATTAACAGGTCCGCCGAGGGCGGCCCGTGAAACCGCGATGTAAATCAATGACCAAGGGTGATTTCCAGTCTCTTCCCTGGCGAATGAATACCCGTTGAAAAGCCCTAATTCGTTTACGACTTGCAAAACGAGCCTTTTGGGAGCGCGCAACTGGTAGCCAAACAATTTCTCTGTCGTTACTCAACCCCCTGAATCCGTCCCAGGGGTAACATCGTTGAAATAAAATCGAGCGTCGATTTGCCTTTGGCCCGGCAAACTCGTGGACCTTGGCGAATCGATAGGACGTTCTTGGAATCGATGATTAACGAGTCGTCATCGAACGGAGGTGGGTCATTTGCGAAACAACAGATTTTATGGGGAATTTAGTTCGCAACGCCGAAAAGAGAGACAGAGGACGAGCAAGAGCGACGCGTTCGACTCGACCGACTCGTGTCATCGGTCATGAAAGGCGAAATGACCGTTGGAAGTCGCGTCAGGTACGACCAGGTAGCAAACGACGTGTTTCTCCTCTTCGATTCGATCGGCAATTTCTATAACGGTTTGTTTCGCTAATTGTTGTCGTGGAAAAGTTTGCGAAGACTTGGAAGTTTAGTTCTCGGGTCGTTTTATTCTTCTTTTTCACCTGATCCACTGAGCTACAATTTGGACTAAATCTTATTAGAGTATCGCGAGAAACAACGTATCCTTATTTATCCTCGTTCTCTCGCCTCGAGGGATCATCGGTGTAACGTAACGAAAACAAGGCCCGCGCTTCGTAGACGCGTTGTTTCGAATTCCCTATAGGGATCTGATTGCAAACGAATGCGGCGGGGTTACAGTCTCCCTTCATAGACAATTAATCCAGTTTACTCGCAGACGTTGCCTCGGTATGGGGTTCCTGTAAGCCGAGAATCCGCACAAACGTCCCTCCCGCGCTTAAATATATTCAATTACGAAGCTCGATGCTCGCGCAGACTCTTCTCCGACTTTCCTCCTTCCTTTTTCTTTCTCTTCTACACCCGCGCTCGACGCTTTTCGCCGCAGCTTTGGTTTCCGCGCTCGACGCTCCGCACCCTTCCGCCACGGAAGTTTTCATAGTCAAGAAAACTATTGATTACAAGTTCCGAGCACCTTCTTCAATTTTATAGAAACGAATTTGTACACACATCGATAGACTAGATCGCGTTCGAGTGAACTAGAATATCCATGCTCTTAGAATGTTATTCCAGCTATCACCAACGTTGATTTTTATATTTCATTAAATTCATCGGGAACTACTAATAGGTAAAATATTTTATTTTCCTCGTCTGGTGATAATTTTTTGTTGAATTCAACACGAATCCCATCTCCTAATATAACACAAGCTCCATGTTGAACAGATTAACACAAAATCCTAGTAACTTTAACACGATCGTTATTTTAATTACTGCTGCACAACATCTTTTTGTTTTATTAACGTAGACAATGTGATGAGAATTTAATGTAACGCGCATCGACTGTTAATTTCTGTTAATTTCCAGATAACATTAAAAACACGTGTTACATTTATAACTGTTCTCTTATTTTAACGTAAAACGTCTGTTGAGAACACCCGTTCAACTCTAACCAAGCCTTACACTCGATCGTGTAAAATAATTGATACAAGACGTTCGACCAATGGATATTCATACGCAACGACTCGAATCGTAAATCAGGGTTAATTCAATTCCGACACTTGGAGAACGAAGTACCTGAATCCGTCGAAAATAATTAATCGGTGAACCTGACTCGTAGCAAATTTTCATCCCGTATCGAGTCCTAGTTCGTAAATCGAATCCGGTCGGCGCTCTGACGGCGCGCGGAGCGGTTAGTTGCGCACACTGCGACAACGTGGGAATCCCCTTGTACAAAGATTTAACGTAAAACCAGCGGAAAGTTCGAATCGGTTGCCGTGACTCGCGGAATGTGGCAATGTCGAAGGGCGATCGTAAGAGAGACTAACTGCGAGCGAAGAGAGCGAAGGATAGCGTGGTATAGACGGTGGGGGGGGGGGGACCAGGAGGGGTGGCCCGGGTAAAGCAAATTATTCACACTCAAACGACTCCATTTCAATATCGGACCGAGGCCCAGGGACAAAAGAAGGGCGAGATGCCTGTCTCCCTTCTGCTTTCGCTTTGCCAGTACCCGGCAGCCCGATACCTTTGGCTGCACCCTGTAGGCTTAACTATCCTCTTTTTTTTTTTACTCTCCCACCCCGGTTTCTCGCTCCCTCTGACCCTGCCTTCGCCTCTGCCTCTTCTTCGCGCTCATATTCCTGGTTATTTTGACTCCACTCCGATCCCAACCCCTCTGCGTGCGACACCGACGACTTATAGACTGTGCCAGACTTCCTCTAGGTTTGGGACTATTCGAATAGTCCGCTATAGTCATTCCTCGATATACGCAGTAAAGAATTCTTTCGAATCCTTTGCCATTCGTCAACCCCTGTAGCCACGAAGTAGTGAAAATCTTATCTCATCTTATTTTACTATTAGTATATATTATATATTATACTTTATACTGTAAGATAAAGAGACGCAAGGTTTGCATAGTGTACGTATACAAGTTCAACAAAAAACGTTGTATATTCCGAAGTTTGATATAATTTTGTGAAAAGGGATTGGTTTAGAGTAGTAAAAAAATATGTATATATTTTTATAACAAATATATATATGTATATATGTGTATATATGTGATTTTAGTAAAAAAAAAAAAAAATATTTTCGTGGTACGAAACGATTGAAAATAATTGTTTTACTTATTATAAGATGCCACGTTGCATTATTCACAAACGGTTTGCGATACTCCACCGCACTTGGGATATTTTCATGAATTTTAGTGTTTCGTCGAACAGCAGCAGTTTTATCCGTTAAACGAGAGTGAAACGAAACTCGACCGGCGCGGATCGTTAAATACCGATCACGTGGTGGGCAACGAAGCGAACAGACGCGCGAATAATTCGCGAGCAGAAGTGTATCCGCGATTATAAATTCAGAAGGACAACGCGCGGCACGACCGACCCTGATGTCGGCTAGCACGTCGCCGCCATCCTTCTTTTCTCTGATGCTGGTCAGATCGAGTCCACCGCTGAATTTATTAGCACGAAAATCATAGTCACGCGTGCCGCGTGCACGGAATCGATTAGAAGCTGCGAGCGCCTCGCAGATTCGTCGGAGTTAAAATTAAATCGACGTAATCGCCGCATAATCGACGGATCCCTCGAACGTTAGGAGTCGATACCGGTAGACGTGATCGGTCGTCGTTCCTCGATTAGGGGGAGTCGGCCATGGACGGCGTATGACGAGTTCTCACTGATTCAGTCGATGACCTACGGAATGCTAATAAGTGGCTTAGAAATTTGTAATGACCTCACGTAGCTGACCTGGAGTTTTTCTTTTCTTTTCTTTCAAGTTTTGCATTGCGATGGTAATTATAATAGGTGTGCACGGTGGCCATTTTTGGGTGGTTAAAGCATAGCACGAAGATGATTTGTTTTATTGCGATTTTAACAGAGTTGGACGAATTTTTAGTCGAACAGTAATTAACGAATGAGACGTTTAAATGAAATTTCTATTCGGACTGGTTTGTTGATGCGTCGCGCTGGGTATTTAGTTTAAGAATATTTTCATCGAATAAAGGGCCTTTGTTTTATGCGATTTTACAACGAACGTAAATCGGAATGATAATTGAAAGTTCTGGATATTAAATAAACTGGATATTAATAATACTCCGTGGAATTGATTAATTATTCAGTAAGATTTTAGGCGTCGACGAGTAATATTTTCCATCGAGAACGTGTCTCGAAGCACCGAAAAAAGCGAAGGTAAAACGCCACCGGATGATGAGCCAACAATGATCGAGGATTCATCAGTGTTTTAGGAGGTCAATGTCACCCGACGGCCGGCAAACCGGCGTGGATCCTCTTAAACATGCAGACCGCATACGAGACACGGTGTATATAATCCACGGCTGGTGGCATCAGAAATCAGTCAACTCCAAAAGACAACAGAGTAACAAACTAGCACCACAATGAAGGTAGCCTCTCCAGCGACGTATTCGAGAAACGTACATCGCAATCAAAACTAACCCTCATTCTAATCACTCGATTAACAATTATTTGATTATAGAGACTACAGAGAGCTTTTGTTATTTAATAGAGCACTTCAAAGTAGCGAAAATATACTTGTGGAAAAGTGACCAAACGACAGTGTTTAAGTTTCACGAGAATATTTGCAATTGCTATAATAATAACTCATTCTCTAAGCTAGCACAATGATCATGCGAGACTGTATCGATGGTTAAGCGAAGATAGATTTAAAAATGAGTAATTTCATTTTGTCGAACAGATATTCGTCGCTATCGCCCTTTTGGTCGCCGCGGTCGCCGCAGAGCCTCCGAGGTACCGTCAACAACAAAGACAATACTATTTTGCACGACAGCAAGAAGAAACTACTACTGCTGACGCACCTTACCCCGCGTCTAATTGGAGGCCAGCTGGACCAGCCTTCAATCTTCCTCAGAGAGCACCCCAACAACAATACGGAGCACCTACTGCGCCTCAGCAACAATACGGAGCACCTGCCGCACCTCAGCAACAATACGGAGCACCTGCCGCACCTCAGCAACAATACGGAGCACCTGCCGCACCTCAGCAACAATACGGAGCACCCGCCGCACCTCAGCAGCAATATGGAGCACCGACTGCGCCTCAGCAGCAATACGGAGCACCAGCGGTTCCACAACAACAATACGGAGCACCACAAGAAGCCACCACCACTGAAGTACCAAACAGCACGGAAGTGGACGAAGCCACTACCGTCGCAAGTGTCACTGAGTCTGAGGTGAGAGAGGTTTTCCTTTCGATTCGAGTGAAGGAATACTCTAGGATTAAACATCTCTAGGTCTTTCGAATTCTACAATCTCTTGGTCCTAAGGTCTATAGATTTTGGAATTGCTGGATTTTGAGAATTCTAGGTCCTGAGGTTTCTAGATTCCGAGGTCTCTGAACCCTAAAATCTATAAATTTTCAAATTCCTACATCCTGAGCATTCTAGGTCCTGAAGTCTCAAAATCCTAAAGCTTTAGATCCTAAAAACTCGCGATGAATAACGAAACCCAAGGGACCGAGACCACCCGACAATTCACTTCTAAGAAAAACACACAACCATGAATTCAGTAAGTTTCTCTCGAATCTATTCCAACCGCGATTTCTTCTCTTGCCATAAATCGAGGCTTCCAGACAAACGGTCCAAGTAGATTTTCACGGAAACGTGTTACTGGATTTGTTGTAGTCTCCGCAACAAGAACAAGGAAACAGAAGAATGGAGACTGTTGGCACGAGCCTACAGGACCCGTAGAGTTCCGCACGGAATTTTAACTCACTCCGGCATCTTCTCGTTTTTGTTCCTTTCTGTCTTTCGATGCTCTTATTCGGCCGGCTTAACGACATTACTATTCAAGTCATCGTTTACTTTCGATCGCTGTGCAGGCACGCGTGTGCCCTTACCAAATTCGAAACCGGTGTGACACAATCTGTGATGCAGCCAACCGTGATTCGAGTCCTCAGGATCGTTCACCGGGCCTCGCGACCTTTTTTTCCAGGACGCTTGGCGCGGGTGAAGGAACCGAACGATGGCTTAATCACTCCCTTGTATGCTTGGATCAGTCGGATCCAGCATCTCCAAACTCTAAGGACTCTAAACCGTGAGGACTCTAGACTCTAAGGTCTTTAGGTCCTAGAATTTCTAGGTCCTGAGAATTCTAGACCCTGTCTAGACCCTAGAGTCTGTAAGGTCTAAGGTCATCAGGCTCTAAAATTTCTATTTCTCGAGATCTCTAGGTTCTAGGATCTCTAAGCCTCAGGGCCCAGGCCGAGTCTCCAGGCCCTGGAACCTCTAAACTATAAGTCAGGTCCTGAGACCTTCAGGTCCTACGATTTCTAGGTCCTAAGATCTCTAAGCCTTAAGGTCTCTGGACTCTTGGATCCAAGTTTTCTAGGTCCTAGAATCTCTAATCTCTCGAGTCCTCGAGTTCTAAAATTTCCAGAGCTTCATATCTCTAAGCTTCTCTACTACAACGACCCAAGTACACGTCCTTCACAAACACAGATCCAACTTGTCGTTTTCCTTTTCGACTTCTAACGCATCTTCTCATGTAATTTCACCGCGATCCTTGTTTCAGTCCGAGCCCGTGAACTCGGTAAACGAGCTCGAAGACGAAGACGTGGACGAACTTCCTCAGCAATCCGGCGAGTACTACATCGCCCTTCCCGACGGACGTCTTCAACGCGTGCAGTACGTCAGCCGTCAGAACCTGGAAGCCATGAAGTACTTCGCCAAGATTCGCGCCGAGAACGTGGAGCCTCTTCGTGGACCGATCTACGCTTACTCTCCCCTCCAGAAGCTGCAGATCCTGCCAGCTGGACTGCAAGTGTCCGTCGCTCCGGTCGCGCCGATCACAGCTGCGTCTGCAGAAACGAAACCGCAAAAACTCGAAATCAAGCCGGTCGCCACCCAAGTGCAATACCAATACGACAATCCTGCCGGCGTGATTCCTCTTCCCTCCAGCCCATTGAGCTCCTCTTACACCACGTACACAACCAATTACCAGGTGCCTGCCAGCGACCCGAGATTCCTCGTGACCTTGCAGTAGGTCAACGGAAATTACCATTATGTATTTATATGTATAAACCTATGTATTCTGACAAGGGCCCTGCCCTAATTCAATCCCCGTTAAGTCACTTGTACATGCTGTGTAGATATAACGCGTCGAGTCAATATCGTAATTGTAGATTAGGGTTGACGTAACAATAAAGCTGACGATTATCATTGCAAACTGTGCGTTTCTGAGTCATGCGTGTTGCGCAACGATCTCTTGCGTGATTGTTAATATTCATGGTTCCTCGCTGTAACGGTCGGGGGATTTTGATTAATATTCCTTCGTTGGAATCGTGAATAACAATTGGCGAGGTCTCGATGCGTGAGGTTACGGTGTGACCAGTGGGACCAGTGAGGACATGGAGATTTTAAGTTCTAGTGTTTAAAACTTGAAGGCTTTGAGACCTAAAAGACTTGGAATTTAAGGTCCGGGGATGAAGAAATTCCAGGATCCAGAGGTCCTGAGATCTAGAAACATTGGGTCCAGGGACTTGAGATCCCTGGCTTAGGATTTAAGGCGTCGGGATGTACAAATTTCAGGACCTCTAAGCTTTTATAGGATATCTAATACCAAGTCTCTGGATTCGGAGTTCTACGTCCTGAGATCTTTAGACTCTAGGATGTCCAAGTCTTAATATCTCTACGTCCTAGAGTCTCTAACAATAAGATCTTCAGGTCCTGAGATGCCTAGGCCTTAAAGTTTTTGGACTCTTAGATCTCTAGGTCCTACAATCTCTAAGCTTTAAGGTCTTTAGGTCCTGAGATCTCTAGGTTCTGAAATTCCTAGGTTCTGTGATCTCTAGGTTCTGAAATTCCTAGGTTTTAAAGTTTCAAGCCCCTTAGGTCTCTAGATCCTAGATACTCTAGATTTGAGATATCTGGTTTAGGATTGAAGGCCTCAGGACGTAGAAATTTCAGGACCTGGTGATCTCAAGATGCAGATCGCAGGACTTGGAGATCTCAAGATCCAGAAACCACAGGACCAAAGAGTGAAAATCAACTGACTTCCAAGCTACAGATTTCGTGTCCTGGATGAATCGCAAGCGTGACTAGACCTTTCGCAAACTTAAACAAGGCAGTATTCGTAAATTTAATTCTGTTCCTACGATTACTTCTGTTCAAAGTTTTAATATGTGCATTCCACGGGGCGCGACTAGTCGTCGAATTAATAAAAAGCGAATTTTGCAATTTGATTGCGTCGCAAAGGAAGAAATTAACGGCGGCAGTTGCGGGATACGATGAAAAGCAACCAGCGATGAGAAAGGGAGAGCATTTTGGTGGGTTGGAACGTGGCTGTAGAATTTCAGGAGGATCCTGACGAGGGATTGGTTGTGTCGGAGGGAACTTATGAAACGGCCAACCCTGGTAGAGTCGAGCGAGATATTAAATTTCTGGAATTTTGCGGTTAGGCGCGTCTACATGCCGACGGTTCTCTCACCGACACACTCCCCCTGTCTACGTCTGCGTCCACGTGCCACGGCTAAGGTAATTCTTTCATGGGATTTCTCCCATTACCTTCTCGATACGGTGATTCGAGCGTGATACATTGTCGAGCAAATTGCAACAGTCCCGAACAAAACTGATACATTTAATTTCATTTTAGGAAATTTACACTCGCCAGCTAACGATATATCTTTGGACACTCCTATGAGTAACGTATCAATGACGATTTTTTATTTCACTGTGCAAGATTTTTTATTTCTCGTTCTAAGGTTTCTAGGGTCTAAGGTCTTTAGGTCTAAGGTCTTTAGGCACTCGGCTCTAAGGTTTCTTTGTCCTAAGGTCTCTAGGTCCTAAGCTCCGAGGCTACTAGGTTCTAAGGCCTCTAGATGGTACAGTCTCTAGGTACTAAATTCTCCGGTATCTAGGTCCTAAGGTTTCTAGGCTGTAAACTCTAAGCTACCTAGGTTCTAAGGTCCGAGGCTTCTAAATTCCAAGTTCTATAATCCCTATGTCATAAACACTCTAGTACTTTGGTCCTAATATTTCTAAGCCCTAATATTTCTGAGCTCTCTATGTTCTAAGCTCTGACACTTCCAAGTTCTAAACTCTGAGGCCTCTAGATTCCACATAATACTTAGATCCTAAACTCTCTAGTATCTAGTTCCTAAGGTTTCCTCGCTCTAAACTCTAAGGATCCTAGTGTTGCACAGCCTCGCTTCTAAGTCTCTAGAATCGTCTCCTGCGCGTGAAAGTTTGCATTCCAATCCTGGAACAATGAGATATAGTTGGCGCTGATTTTTATGAAAATTCCATCCCACGCAACAAATCGAGCGTAGGGCAACGAGCTTTTCGGCAAATCCGCAACGAACTTTTCGAAAGCCCACAGCAGGGCCGTTCAGCGGAGAACAAAGGGATTTCGACGACGCTAAGTACCTTCAAGACGCGAGGAGCGTCTAAGTTGAAACCGAATTTTAGATTGGCCAATTACTCTGGCCAAGCGGTCAAGACCAATTAAACTCCGGCGATCTTAAGACCGGACCAATCGGTAAGAGAGCTGCGGTTGCTTGAAAGCCTCTCTCCCCCTTCCCCGGACCGATTCCCGTGAATTCCAGACGAGTTTCTTTGGACAGTCCTAAACTCGTTCCCGGAGGCATCTATTCTCCCTGCGTTGAACTTCGCCTTTCGTTGGATATCCGAGGTAACGAAGAGGCGAACTACAAGCCAGAGTGAGACAGACCAGCCGAGATAGAGATAGAGAGAACGATATAGTTCTAGGAAACAAAGTTTTCTGTCCAGATCTCGACCATCCCCCTGCCCCATCGGTCCCACCTCCGCGACACAGACGCCTGCATTTGAACCAAACCAACCGGCGCATCATCCTTCCCACGGGATATTAACTTTTCCGGAAGTTGCCTCCGTCGCTTCCTTTTTTTTTTCTCCCTTTCCCGCTCGGTCTGTTTCCCTCGTTCCCCGACGAGTTCCCCGTTTTCGTCCGGCGGTGTTTTATTTTTAGTAGAACTGCGAGGGTAATTGTCTGCCGTTTAGGCGCGGGCACTGTCCAGAGTTTTTAATAACCCCGTTTTAAATAACCCTTCAGCGCGACATTATTTTTGTATCGGAATGCATAAGGGCGGTGTTGCGTGAACGGAGGATTGATAGGGGTACGACCTCGACGTCTGGGACAGGAATGGGCGAGCTGATGGCGCGCGGGTCATTCATGGTTCGTCAACTACGCTATCGGTCGTTAATTTCGATACACCGCAACACCTGTAACTTTCCCAAAGAAAGGCGAATGTAATTAATGATTGACATAAATATTGGGTCGTCCGGAAAGATCGTGCCTATTTTTAAGAAAAATTCAAAGGCGTGTTTGAATTTTGATGTATATTTATCGAATTATATATATATGTACCATTTTCTTTCACAACTTTTCCACATTTTAAAGAATGTATATATGTTATTTGTTTTCAGCCATTCCGACGTATTCAGACCTGTGCCGTCTACTAAAACTCGGCATGGACTTTCCAGACCGCCCAATACATTAACAAAAGAAACGTGACGTCGCATAATTTTTGATTAATTTAGAGCAAACTTTTGATTTGTAGCTAGTTGGTATCTGAAAAATTATTTTTTTTAATAGTTTCCATGGATCCTTTCATTTGCATAACGTTATTAAAACACATGACGAAACGATGACTGTGCACAGTGTAATATTACGCTTAATCAGCTGAGGAATCGTTTCGTTACGTCGTCGCTGAAACAAAGGCAAAGACGGTATTGCAGCTGCATTGTCAACGACTTTATCCAATCAGATAAATCTACCCCCGTAGCAGAATCGCGAACAATGTTCCACTGTGAAATTCAACACGCAAACATCCGGTACTTACAGATGATTACCAAAGATAGAAATCGCGACTACCATTGCGATTCCCTCTGCGTGAAAATGAAACAGACGTTATATTCCCAAAATGGCCGCCAACGAGGAGATTCTGGTCTGGCAATTAACCGAATTAAGTAATCGCCAACCCAATAGAATCGCCGTGTGCGCGAGACGAGCCATGAGAACCAGCCACGACCACCCGCAAACACGAGGAAACCTAGAGAACGCGACAAGTGAGACGACGGAGAATAGAAACTAAGGATAAGAAAAGACGGTCGAGGTCAGGGGGTGAAGTTTCGTCGGCGGTTCCGGCAATTGAGATCATCGACGGGGGTTAACGCTCCTAGCGGAGGATTGTATGGCCACGTCTGGCCGAGCAAAAGGGTGGCGAGCGTTCGTTTCTCGAGTTCGCGCACCGCGGGCATCCCTGGCCCTCTGTGTTTACGCTCGTTTGTCTCGCCTCCGCGTGGGCCGAGATCGAGAAAATAGCGGGAGGCGCCCCGCGGAGCCTGTGGGAACGCGAACGAACCACGTCCCTGGAATATAGTTCCCTAAATTGTTGGAACCATCTCCCGCACCCACGAGAGAAGCGTTCGATTAACGCATTCGGCGACTGACAGCTATTTTACGTTTCTAATACCGAGTACTGGCGAAAATAATAGAATTCCAAAGCTGGACATCGGACGTTTGTATACATACACGGTCTGTCTAAAAAAAACTTTTGCTATAAAAAGAAAAAAGTACCAGTAAAGTTTTTACACACACGTTTATTTACTCGAAATAATCTTCCTCTGCGTCGATACAGCGTGTAGACCGCGTAATTAACATTTCGAAGGACCTTTGCAGCTCCTGTTTTCGTAGCTCGTTTAGTACGGGAGTTACAGCGGCCTGAATTTTATTCGAATTGGCATTGTTACCTTGGATCATTCACCCTACTCGCCTGGCCTGGTTCCCTGCGATTATTTTCTTTTCGCAAAATTGAAAATTCCAATGAGGGGAACACATTATAGCAACATTTCGGAGATTCAGGCCGCCGTAACCGCCGCACGGTGGGACGAAACGGCCTTTCGGCGATCATAAAATCGATGTTCGTGAATTCGAAAAATTGAAAAACTGTTTATGTACATCGATAGAGGATGAATTGTACACTTTTGTACACTTACTTCTATGATTTAAATTACTAAATACGTTTCTCTCATAGTTAACAACAGGTTTGAGACGAATTTTGGTTGAATAACAATAAATATGTCAAACAAGTGAAAGATATTGAACGCGTTACACTTTATACGTGAATATTTGGACACCCTGTAGCTCAAATTGATTTATACTAATACAATTTAAGTATCATAGTATAGGGAATAAGTTCCTAAAATTTCATTAAAATATTTTCAACAGAACCAAAGTTACGGATTTTTGACACCCTGTAGCTCAAATTGATTTATACCAATACAATTTAAGTATCATAGTATAGGGAATAAGTTCCTAAAATTTCATTAAAATATTTTCAAGAGAACCAAAGTTACGGATTTTTGATCGCCGAGAGTCGTTTTGTCCCACTGTGCGCCGTACTAAACGGGCAACCAAAACAGGAGCTGCAAAGGTCCTTCGAAATGTTAATTAACGCGGTCTACACGCTGTATTGACGCAGAGGGAGATTATTTTGAGTAAATTAAACGTGTGTGTAAAAACTTTACTTTCACTTTTTTTTTTAATAGCAAAAGTTCGGTTTCTTTTTAGACAGACCGTGTATTTAGACATATTTTGTTCCTGATTGATGATCGATAATATGCACTATTACCGACCGATCGGCGATTGACACTAGGGTGTCGCAAGGTGTCGCGACCTATATTCTTTTCGCCTAGGGTTTTTCGTTTGTTACGTTTGCCACTTGCGCTGCCTTTTCCCGCGCGGGGTGGTACGCCTGTAGTTCTTCGCAGCTTCGCGTGTCGCGTGTTTCGCGTTAATTATGTTGTAATCTATTTCTTACATTAAGTAATAATTACAAGTTATCAACGTGTGTTTATTTCGTACATATCCAACAAGTTCTTTACTTTCACTTGAACGCGTTCTCTGAAGTGTATCTCGACCATTGTGGCTTGACGTTTGTCCCAAAAATTGACACGAACTTTCTGGAGAATCCAATGAAACTCAAGTAAGTAAAAAGCATTAATTCCGATTGCGAGAAAGTATCTGTCGACAATTCGTAAAAGCTCGACGACGTTAGAAAATAACGTCTAGCACAAATGTTAGATTATAATTTCCGAACGTCGCGAAACAGAGCTTTAGCCTCGTAGAAATGTTCACGAGTATTAATCTGGCGGTGAACGCGTTAACTCTTTGGGGCACGGTGGGATTAAAAGTGTCCCTTCTTTTTGATGAAAAAATCCCATCTCGAAATTTTGCAATAGCTGCATGTGTATAGGTTCATACAGGGTGTTCCAAAAATGTTGGAAGTCGTTGAAAGGGGTGGTTCGGGAGGTGATTTGAAACAACTTTTTCCCTTGCGAAAATGTCGAGGAGATACTAACGGAAAACGTCGACCAATCAGAGCGCGCGTATACCGTTGGAGCGGCCGTAAGCTACGCGCTAAGCGGTCGCGCTCATTCGCTACCTCGGTCGCTCCATCGGCATACTCGCGCTCTGATTGGTCAGTGTTTTCCGTTAATATCTCCTTAACGAAGCCACGGACAACATTTTCGCCAAGGAAAAAGTTGTTTCAAATCACCTCCCGAACCACCCATTTCAAGGTGTTACATTTTTGAGACACCCTGTATTTCGTCTTATTTACGTAAAGCAGTTGGTAATACATTCATCCAATGTTACAAATGTATGCACTTATGTTGGCAACTTTCAACATGCTAATACCGGTTCAACAATTGTTGTAAGCGGAATGTTTATCGCGATAATATTTCTTTGCTGGTTTTACGTGAAAAATCGTAGAGGTAAGTTAATTTATATAAAAATGCAAATTTTTTCTCGTAACTGGCATTCGTACCAAGAGGGAAGTCCCTTAAGGGATGGAGCGCAAAAATCGAAGTTGCTCTTATACGATAGCGCATAATTAGCGCATAATTCCTACATAATTCCTACATGTTTTTCTGTCAATGTTGCTTATCATTAATATGTGGGAGGAGGAGGAGGGGGGGGGGGGGGGGCGCAGCCGACTCGGCCTCCACATTTAAATAAATTTGTTTGCATTAAACGGAGCGAACGCAAAATATTTTTCTTACGGATTTGAAGAGCGGAATAAATAGCGCATTATTGTGTAATTTTTTCCTTAAATTTTATGTAAGGGTGAGCGAGGGCTAGCTAGGCAGACGTCCTGAATTCCTGTGCCGCAAAGAATTAATACAGTCCGTTGGCCAGAAGATGTCACGACGATGTCCACCGTCCAGGAAGAAGCATTCGTCTAGGTCTGTTCGACAATCTCGCGCGATAGCAGACGATAGAAGGTGAAACAATGAGAGAAAAGGAGACGACGGAAAGCAGTAGCTCCCACGTATGCCACGCAGACGTACCGTAGGAACGGTAGTGATTGGAGATCCCCCGTCGACAGCCACGTCGAACTCTTTTCGACTCTTTCGAAGTCGGCACCTGCTCTTGCTTGCCTGCCTTTGCTTCCCGGCAACGAGAAACCCCTTTGTGATCCTTCCGTCTGCATATATCCCTCCGTAGTTTTCAGAATCCGCGCGCACAGCCGCGTCTGTGCCAGTGTGATGTGCAACGAGTGTACGCATTGCGTCACAGGGCACGTCGATATTGAACCGGAGGGTACCGAAACAATAAGGTTCCTACTGCGCTTACATCGGTACGCTTTTGTACGTGAGAACTCGCTGCTTGATTAATATCGCCGAATTAATACGGATGCAGAGGGATAAGGGAGAGTGACGGCGAGAGAGGCGGAGGGGTCTGGTCTCGTTTCCTCCAGTTAAAAATTTCCACGTTTCACATTTACGATTTCAACGTTTCCGCGGAAACGAATGGTACTGCTCGCAGCGTGTCTTTGGCACTCGTGGTTGTTACCGTATTTCCCAACCGTGCTTCGTTTCCGATGATCTTTTGCTCGTTATTCAAACAAATTGCAAGGTAGTTTAATCAAGCCGTTCATTGTACAACTCGATCAACTCCGTGTCCTTATTTTTCGTTTAGACCTCTACAAATGTTCAACGCATATTTCAATAGATTCCAAAAATCTGTACCGATCATCCACGTTCAAGTGTCTGTTCAGCCGAGGAATAATTAAACGAATACAGTAATTGTAATTGCGTTTAGCGCTTTACCTTTATTTAGAAATAAAGATAACGAAACTTGCCCTCGAGCATCGCGGTTCGTACTTCCAAAAGCGAATTGAGAATATTAGGTCAGCTGTCGAGCGGAGTCTTATGATATTCCACGCGCACGATGAACCATAAATTCAATCGTCCGTTGTACGATGAACACGCCTCTACGATTGTGTAACGTTACGTAACGGCCCTGGTGATTGTTCTGTGTGTGCTAGCAGCACACTTATGTAAATCGAAGCACATCAGGTGTTGTACTATGAAGCACCGTGTCGTTTTTCTGTTTTTCGTATCGCGACGTTCATCTTTCGGGTACAAAGTAGCCTATAATTCATTTACTATAGTTCGTTCCGTGTTAATCCTTTCAGACCTGAATCATTTTTTTTTCTCGTACTAATGCAATTTAATTTTTAGGTTTAACTTGGACTAAATGGAAAACTGATCTTTCTTCGTGCGGACAAATAAGGACATTCGCCCTAAACGATAGTGTTGGTAATGTATAATATTTTAAGTCTTCGATTAGTGAGGTTTGGTAGAGGTAACTCCAAAAATACCAGCTTTTCGATCGTTATTTCCATACAGTTTTTTGCGGACACGTAAAAGATACGCAACTTTGGTTTAAACTTTTTGCTGGGTATATTCTCTAAGAAGCTGCACTTTCTTAAGGACGAATAATTTTTCGAAAATTTCTGAATTTTTGGATTCGTCAAGTTCCCTAGACGGATATGAAAACAAGCATGCTTTCAATTGTGTGATTCGTATCTACTTTGGAGTTACTTTGACTGAAAATCTAAAAGAATAAACACACGATGTTGCAAAACATACTTGTATGGCAGATTGTTAGCTCACCGTTTCTTTTTATGAATTTTGATACGCACTGGATCATTCTTCAGGGATGATTCTTTTTTGTTACTATCAAATTTTTGTTCTTTTTATTATTGACAGTAATTCTGATTATAAAAAAGGGGCACGAAGAGTAAAAACTGCCGATGAAAACTAGCGTCGATGAATTCTGTGTTGGTCAATTCCAGACCTAACCCAGTTCGTCAGCCGAAATAGTCTGAATCCACTTTACGTCGAGCGAGTCCGAAGCCCACGATTCCTCGAAACGCGAAAGAGAAGAAGCTCTCGGTGGCGCCGCGGGAGCGGAAGAGTTGACGACCCTCGGTGCGCGGTAAAAAAAGGAAGAAAATCCAAGGGGGTTGTTGACGACTCCCCTTAAACTCTCGGCTCCGTTTCCAACCCTGCCCACGCCGCGAAACGCGGAAGTCACGCGGAGTGCCTTTTACCGAGCGGATCTCACGCGGCTCTCTTTATACACGTAACACGTACTTGGCGTTATTCATACGCGAGTCACGTTATATTCATCCCCTTACACGGCCGTGTACGCGCGGAGACGATCTCGGAAGGGGTTGGCGCGCTCGCCGTGTGAACGTTACCCTAAAAGATGAACGTTGCCTAAAAGAACGACGGTGTGTCGGCTCGTGGAAAGAGAAGAGGTGTTCCTGTGCGGTGTATATCGATTGGCATTACGAGGCAGATCAGTCGACCCTCGAGAGTCGATGCACCCTCCCGCCACGAGGAAAACGCCGAAGGAAAGAGATCTCCGTCGCCACCGCCCCACATCTCCTTCTTATCCCGTTCGCGGCTGAGACACTTTGTCACCCTCTCACGCGCTTCCCTCGATTGAGCATGACCCAGCCGACGCTAAAGCCTCAGACGTGTCAAAAAGAGTTCCAGAGAGGCGAACGAAGACGGATAGATCTTTATTGTCGTCTTCGTGGGTAGCGAGATCAGTTTCGCCCGGAGAACAAGCCAACCGATGCGGAAGATTGATCGTTGGGCCAGCAATTAGGAGTGGAACGAACGATTATGTACACTTTGCTCGTTGTTTCGCTCCTCCGCGATGCCTGGAGGCGCGCCTTTTTCTAGACAACCCAGGCAATCGTGTGTGGTGTGGCACCCTCCGTTCCTCACCACCAGACGGAAACCGCGCGTTTCTCGCAACTACTCGGTCCGCCTAACATTGGTATACATAATATAAGGGCTTTCCGACCGAACTCCAAATATCCCGGCGTCTAAGGCACGGGTCTGCTAGCAAGCCTCACTGATGAGTCCACTAGCAAGCCCAGGACGAAACGCTCCCTTTCTTTTCTCCCCTCTCTCGCTCTCCCTCCACACGCACGACAACCACCACACGTGTAAAATCATCTAGTGCATATAGGGAGCACTAAAATCCTTCATCTTCAGGGTTTCTAAATTATCTGGACTGGCGATCCCCTCTACCTATGCTAAACAGGCTAAAGCAAGGAGTAGTCTGCTGCAGATTCAATGCCTAAAGAACGTCTTTCTGTCCAGTTACTACATGGAGTCAAGAATTGCACCGTGGAAGCGTTAAATATCTGACCTAGTAATCCTCTAATAAGGGAAGAACGTAAACTGTAACTCGAGTATTCCAAGTGAAACTTAGTAAAGATAGACATAGCCCAAATCACCTAAAATTTTTATCAGATTTCAGTTACCGTTACAACGATCCTCATTTTTACTAATTTCACTTGGAAACTCCAGTAACAGTTGGCGTACTTTCGTTATAAGTAGGATAAAAAAAAGCTTTCTGTACGGTTGCAGTAACCAAGAGCCATCGATACCTCTCCGTAAACTTGTGCCTAGAAATCAGTAGCCAAAGTCACGTCAGCGTCTTCGCGCGAGTAGAAAAAGAGAATCCAATCGACGACACGGAGTTTGCCAAAGATAGAGGCGCAATATGTTTGTAGCCGGTGGAGGCGGAGGCGGACGTGCGCCATATTCGCGAGCAAGGGAAACGGCGGGGCAAAGTCTGGCAAGCGGATGGAACAGCATCGGTGCACCGGATCACGTAGTTGCAACCGCCGTGGAATTTCATCTGCGAATTCCGCCGTGTATTTTCCAACTAGCACGAACGAGAAGAATTTTTCCTCGACCACCGATTTCTACATGCGGTGGGGAATTCGTAATAGCCGGCCGCGGGTCGGGATGATTTGCGCGCGGCACGTACAGGAATTGCTAAACCGAAGAGGAGAAAGACGCGCGTTCGTTATTTCTCCCGGTTGCGGGTTGGATAGCGTCCGACACACAATACTGCCGAACTTTTCTCTCTGCGGGAGACCGCAGAGCTTCCACGCGCATGGCTCACCGCAAAAGATCGACGATGCGCTTTGCGCGATCGCCAACCATGCGAGCCGCGCGCATTGACATTCGCGAGCGACACGTCCGCACGCGCGCATTTTATATTTTCACCGTTTCCCTACCAGGAACACCTGGGGAACTGGTTTCTTTTTATTAGCTCGGCTCCTTAGGCGCGTCCTTCTTGGTCCATTTATCTACGTTTATCAAACACACTTTCGGCAACTTGGTCGCGACTGGAAACGAACATTTTTACAAGAATGTCAAATGAATCCGTCGATGCTTCTCGTAAGTATTGGAAATACTTGAATAGACAAAGTGGATAGAATGTATCGCAGTAGGTGATATCTAAAGATTTACAAATAAAATTCACGTGTTTGAATCTTGTCTAGAAAGTCGATCGCTTTATATGCGTGGAACTGATGGAAACGAACGCGCTGAGAATTTTTCTTTCGAACGAAAGAAGGGGTCGCGAGGCCGCGTTTCTAGGAACGCGCGCGCCAGCCAGGCTCCTTTCCTCGTTCGCCACGTGTATCCGCATAATGAACGGCAAACCCTCCGGAGGAAACGTAGACGGGTTGCGGTGCGGGCCTCACGATCACGGAACGGTTTTTATCGTTCGCTCGATGGCGTAGATATTCATCGACGTCGGCCGTTCATCGGCGCGGACGGGAATAAAGCGGAAGACAAAGGAGCGCACCACGTTGTTGCTGGATAACGCGGCGACGGCGACGGCGACGGCGGGGGCGGGCGCGCAAGACGTTGCCGTGGATGGTAACCCGAGCCGCGGCGGGAGGTCAGTCTACCAAGATTGACGAACACGATAAATCGAGCGGTAGTGACACCGGTTTGAATGACTCGACGCGACAACTCACTGACCTGCGAATCCAATGCATAGAGTTTCTCTCTCGGCTCCGCTGCACCGCGAACGATCCGGAACGCAACACGCTCCGCGTTAAGGAGAACCTGGTAAATATTCCTGCTCATACAGGGTGTTCCTCGAACGCTCGAGGAAATCTTATTCCTACATCTCTCCAAGTGTCGTACCAAGCGTGGATACCATCGAGCAGATTGATCGTACTATACAAAATTGTAAGAAATAAAATGTTGCTTTTTTTTTTGCAGATGTTCCTTGACGCCTACAAATTGGTTCCAAAGTTATGCTGTATGTATAATATGGCGATTCTTAAGCGCACCTTCTCACGACAAAATGGCGCAGACGTTCGCGTCGGTAAGTCGTTTACGACCTGGCCTGGCCTGCGTTAATATAAGAACGTTAAAACCGCAGAAAATTCCGCGTCGTCGTGTCGCGACAGCAGTCAACGCCGTTAAATGGAGCAACGATCCCCCAAAGAATCAGCAGTGACCGTGACACGAGACGTCGGAGTTCGGACCGCGTCGTTTCGCTCCAACTTTCCTCGTCCACGCGTTACGCTCGTTCCCCGACGACACAATAGCGAGAGAAGGAAAAGAAAGAGCGACAAAAAAAAGAAAGAAAGAAAGAAAAAGAAAAGACCAGCAAAACAAACCGGCGAATTTCACTCTAAAAAGTTTTCCTTTTCTCTCGGGGTCGGAAAGGATCCGACAGCGGAGAGAGGTCGTACAAAAGGTATCGGGGAACCATTAATATGCGGATCGCGTCGAGAGGATCCGACGTCGACGTGGTTGCGTCGAGCGACAAGAACAACGAGGACGAATGACAAGGACGATTCCGTAGTCGACGACAACAACGACAACCGACCACAGAGTTCGGTATTGTTCCCGGCTCGACGATAAAAGGTTTCGCATCGTTGCAGTGGCGTGTGTACCGTACCTACTGGGACAGAGAGTTCGGGAAGAAGAAGTAGAAGCAGCAGACGCGGGGCGAAAAAGAAAGGCAGAACGCGAACAAAAACGGGGGAGGGAGCGGTGGCCGAGGGGGTGGGGAAAAAAGCGAGGAAGAAACGAGAGAAAAAAAGGGAAAGAGAAGCAAAGGGAGATCGGGTGCACCAGATATAGAGGTCGACGATAATGCTCTCAGTACACCCTGGGCTCTCGTAGCGGAGACCGCGCACCAGGCGGCCATTATATTGTTTTACTCTCTGTATCTCAGCCAGAGATCAACGAGCACGCCGCGAAGAGTGTTCCGTAATACACCTTCGACGACAACGACGATGACGAGCGCCGCATGCCAACCCAGAGGCTGCCACCGAAACAACGAAATCGCAAGGGAGCGAGAGGCGGTGTAGTGCGCCGGTACGCGACCGAGGTCGAAACGGAAATGCTGTTCGCGTGTTCCCTGGCTAAACAAAGTACTTCGCCGGAGTAACGTTGCACGGATGAAAGACGCTGGGCGCTTTGAGAGGAGCGCTGAGAAATTAAACTGATTAGCTGCTCGAACTTCGCGGCGCGTTTGACTTTAAGTAATTAATACGCCTGGCGCTCGCGTGGCGTCGTACTCGACGCCAACGTACCGATACCAGTCTTTCATTTTTCATTCTTAACCCACTTGCTAACCGGGAAAATTTAAAGCTCTTTGCCTCGTCTGTCACGATCAATACAGATGTGTAATGCAGGTTATTATTTTGATAAGAAAAAAGTGATTGAAATGTGTTGAAACTAATGATCGGTAGAGTAGGAATGATTTTTAAATTAATTAGAATTAACGAGTCAATCTTATTTAATAATAATCTTATAGAAGGTGTCCTAGAATTAGTGTAAGATTCAGAAATGGGGAGGTAGCTGAGACGATTCTGAAACACAATTTTTTTTGGAAAAATTATTGAAACAAATATTGCCAATATTAGTATAGACTTTTGCCGATCGAAATGAAAATACGCGGAACGTCAGGGATATCGAAATTTTTTGATGGCATTCAGGACTAGCGTTCCCTTCTTTTGCCCCCGGTAGCTCGCGTGGCAGCACCGTAGCACCGGGACCCGAGAGGTGAAAAAACAATGACCGTACGACCCGAACCCCTTTCGTTTCGATCACTACAGAGTCTCTTTGCGCCCTTGTCTCTTTTCTTTCTTGGTCTCTCTTGTTCGTTTCTCCCGTAGCTCTCTCCTCCTCCTTTATTCGCGTCCTCTCTTTTCTCGCCACCCCCTCATTGAATTCTTCTGCATGCCGCTGCGTCTCGTCTCGTCTCGTCCCGTCCCGTCTCGTCTCGTTTCGTCTCGTCTCGTCTCGTTTCGTCTCGTCTCGTCTTGTCTCGTGCAACAGCACAATGCAACTCAGGGATGCATTGTGGATCAGTCTCACTAGACACCCCAGTGATACCGACGACGTCGACGCCATCGTCGCTGTCGTCGACGAGTTCTACCGATGCGCGACTATTTAGTAGGACGCCATCGCGCAAACTCCCACGCTTCGGATGCTGAACAAAATCATGGTCTATTTAAATTAATTTGTGTAATATTTTGTTTCAGGTAGATCCATTCCGTTTCAGGTTCACGATGATCTTCGTCTGGAACGGTTTAAGGTCTGTTTGTTTGTGAGTTCCTTATCATTTCTACAGTTTTTAATTCCAATAGAATTTATGTTAATTTTCAATGAGAATCCGTGGTCTACCGAAACTAATTTGTATAATATTTTATTTTCAGGAAGTTCTACGACGATAATTTCATTGCGTGATATAAGTCTGTTTGTTCGTGACGTTTCTATCATTTCTACAGTTTCAACTCGTAGAATTTTCTGTTTCGTTGTCGGTTCTGTTTCTGTTTTTCTTAAAACATCTACTGTTCTCGATCGATACTACCGTAATTTATTTCAAACAACTATGCATCCAAAACTATATCAGTGGTTTCGAGGAAGCTAGTAGAACGAGGGGATATAATTGAAAAATACGGTCGATAGTTTCCGAACAACTAGGCAACGCGCGAATTTGCCTAATCAGATACACGCACGGCGTAGTTTGAAACGGGCTCCTGGCAGGAGTAAACCCGCGGCAGAATTGGTGTGATGATTGCGCCGTAATCTGCTTTCGCTTTGCTTTTCGAAAGAGGGTGCCAGTTGTCGTTTCTGATTGGCCCGAGGCGTCCGTCGTATCGGTTCCAGTCGAAACGGCGCGGCGAGAGACGGAGAAAACCTCAAAAGACGAAGACGCTTAAGCGAGCCTCGGGATGGTGGAATACGGTGCGGGGCGGCGCAGAGCAGGGACGGGGGGAGAGAAACGAAGAGGAAGAGAGAAACAACCCTCCTGACACGGGTTATCCTATAAACGGCAGCAACCCTGCAGCAACGCGGAGATAATCCGGCCCCCGGGGTACGCGTGCGGTTGAGCGCTCGCAACAGTTACCATATTTGATTGTATCCCTTCTACTCTGCTGGAATACAAAATATCGCGCACGAATCGGGGCACCCGATTAACCGATGCTTTGCGAATCCACGGGTTTACGAATCGACGATTAAAAGGATCGGTCAGTCGACTTTCGCGATACGCAACTGACCTGTGGATGCGTCGCTACTTCGTGTAAATAATATTTACTAAATATTAAGGTAGTTACTTTTGTAAAAGTACAGTATTCCTGTTCTCGCACATATATCCATAATAAATTCATGTGTATATCCGATACTTGAACAAAGTATAGTCACGTTCTAGAGTATAATTAGAATCTTTCGTAAAAGTATTCATTTATTTATTTCTTTAAACGGTTTATAACTTCCAATATGTTACTATAACATATCAAATTTTCAGCGAGTTCCGAAATTCCATTTCGATTTGAACATAAAAAATTCGCCTAATTAAAACCAACAGACAAATCGATTGCAGGGGAAGTATCGTATCAAGGTGAGCAGTTGCACCCCATCGGTGTCGCAAACACCCTTCCCTGTATTCGCACCACTCACGTTGTTCCAAGTACGTTCGTCGTACGACATCATGACTCGATCTACCAAACCTGAACACATCCTCTAATTTGGAATCAACCAACCCACCCTTCGAGACCCTTCTCCTCGTCGTCGCGCGATCGACAGCGATCCACGCGGGGGTTCCTTCGCCCGAAGGCGTAAGATTCCAGCGACCCAGAGTTACGAGAAAAGAAGAAAAAAAAAAAAAAAAATACACGCGCAACATACGCGCACACACGGGTTTGCTTTTCGCTGCTCGTGACACCGCCTGCCACCCTGGCGGGAAAACGCCGGGGCAAAAGAAATCGCGCGTTTGATGTACCGCCAAAGGGAACGCGTGCATGGCCGTACGATGAAAGAGAGGCAGGAGAGGGAGAAGGGGACCAAACCAGCAGGAGAGAGAATATATATTCCGTTGGTCGAGGTACAATTTCGTGTGGGTTGGTCGGTCGACTGCAACCACGTTTCTACACACTTAACCCCTCCCTCCCACCCCACCACTTTCTCTCTCCCTCTCTATCTGTCTATCTATCTTTCTCTCGTTTCGCTTAAACGTTACAATTATTACCGGAAAAGCGCTGCACACGCATGCGGCAAACCGCGGGACCCACCGACGGAATTACATTGATATTAGTATCGTTTCAGCCGGCAGATTAATTAATTAAAACGTGCCTTACACGCGCCTCTTCCCCTATTCTCCAACCCCACCACCCCTCCCCTTTCCCTTCCCTCATCCTCCCCTCCCCTCCCCTCGGGTCTCGCTGCTGGCCACTTTTGCCACATGCGAACGTACGTTCCGTTGTACGTCGCTGCGGTTTTCCGCGTATTCGCGACGAAAATCTGTCTACATCAACCGGCGAGCTATTCGAAAGTGATTCTTGCGACGGATGTTGCCAGGTGTTCGTCTCCCTTTGTTATTTCGTTAAGGGATCACATGGGAGGTACCGAGGACCAAAAAGAAAGCGTATTTTCTGTAAATTTTTGTCGAACGGATTCAAACGAATTATATTTTATGTTATGCATAATTATATTTATGTTTTAGCCCTTTTCACTCGGATGTTCCGAGTAAACTTTGTTAGCGGAGTAAATTTATTCCGGGGCAAATTTTTGTTTAGAACACAATCTATTTCTGAATATATTTTCCTACCTTTTTTCGCGTGCAGGATGTCCGCGGGGTCCGGTGGCAAGGCCGTACAGTGGCTCGGACTTAGGCTGGGTTGCAACGATGGAAACGGACTGCCAGGGCCGGATGAGTACCTAACGTAACCCACAATAGCATCGACAATGTCAAAGAAACGGTAGTAACCCTTTGGATGCCACGGGTCGATCAGCCCTCCTCGGTTCCTACGCGAACATCGACCCCTGGCGTCCAAAGGGTTGATATTCAAAAATGATTAATGGTTGATCGTATGCAGACATACTAAAACAAACTTTTATCTTACAGCGTTACTATAACATCTCAATTATCACGTCTTCGACTGCTGGCCACGTACCGAAATGATCGAGGCGTCCGTCGACTCTGCAACGCCAGATAAAGAAACGTGCTTACCATGGATTGGGTCTGGGCCATCCCGTGGTCTGTCCATTTAGTATCCTCAGTTTATCGTAAACACTTTCGGCTGGACTTCCAGCACCGACGCCGACGCCAACGGCGGGCACTCCTTGCTGCTGCTGTTGCTGTTGTTGTCGCTGCTCCTTCTGTGCCGCCAAGTTTCTCAGCACCCTGTTGATGGACGACACCTGAAACAGCAAACGAGAAATACGTTAGATCAGCGGTCCTCGAGTTTCTATGGTAACGTAACGTTTTTTTATTAATCATTTGATCTTAAACAGATTTATCGTCTTTGATATATTATTTTTAGAATTATGTCATCTAGTTTCCGTAAAAAAAAGTCCTGTCACCCACCAGTGGGTGACGCAGTACTGTAACAGTGGAGGCTCTCTCCGCCGATTACTCGTTATTAGGCCACTTTTCCTCCGACCGAGGCCAGGCGGGAAATCCTCTCTCCCTCTCTGTCCCGTATTTTCTCGGGAGAAACGCAGCCAAAGGGGACGAGTGCTCGCAAAAGAAACAGACACTCGGTTGTTTCCAATCACGTTTAGCTGCAACGCGTTTCCAGGGAGCGGCCTTTAGGAGATTGCACAGTGGCTCGAGAGGCGTCGTTCGCGGCATTGGATTTATTATAAACATGAAACACCGTGGGGCCACGGTGAGGGGCAGAACGGTGGGGGGAGATGGTTAGAGAGCGGCAACAAGCGAGGAGAAACGAGTGAAAGAGGAAGAGAGGCGAACGAGGGTGGGGGGAGAGCGCTTCTGCCCGATGAAATGCGATGAGAGCGGTAATTAAAACGATGCGGTGAGCGGCTGCCGGTGTGTCCTCCACGAGGGAGTTAATTACCTCCGCCTTCAATTATATCCGTCTCGCGTCACTCCAAGGGGACTTCGGCTTCTGCCAACCTAAGTACGCGCGCCCCGCGTGTCTGCGACTCGCTCGGGAAACACGTGTATGCAACAACGCATAGCGCGCGATGCTACGCGCTCGATACGCGTCTTCCGCCAATCGACGGGCCTGCCGTGTTAACGTTGGTAATCCTGCGACCGCAATTTCCTCGCGTCTTCCTCGAACCAACGAAATTAAATGACAGGTTCGAGGAACACCCTTCGCGTCGACTTGCCTTGGATTAGAGATATATTCGTGTCTCGCTAGTGTATACTTTGATGTCTGAAAGGTGGCGATTAGGAGAGAACATTCGTGGAGCTTTCGTTGATTATTGCAAGTGGAGGAGTTGAACGAGGTTAGGAAATATGGTTGGACATCATTTTTATATTCGATTCGAAATGATTCGGGGACGAGGCAGTTCTGATAACTGAGTAGCTTCGGTTAATAGACGTCCACTAGGTAATTCTATGAGTCTTTGACGATGGACCTCCACGATCGTCCATGGTTTTGAGTAATTGAAGCTACTGAGGTTACTGAATGGAATGGAGGTTACTGAGCTCAACTATAGAGGGCTGAAGAGTACTGAGCTCAGATACTAGAGGGTACTGAGCCAAGAGGGTACCGAGCTCGGTTATGGTGAACTATAGAGTACCGAGCTTGCATATTGGGTTGTCCGGAAAGTCCATGTCGATTTTTGGTAGGTGGTACAGGTCTGAATATATCCAAGCGATTGAAAACAAATATTAGGTTGTCCAGAAAGTTCGTGCGAATTTTTCAAAAAAACTTCAAAGGCACATTTGAATTGTAACATATATTTATTGAATTACATAGGTACCATTTTGTTCCACAAACTTTCCACCTTTTAAGGGATGTACATATACATATGTATATGTTATTTGTTTTCAGCCATTTCGACATATTCAGACCTGCACTACCTATCAAAAATCGGCATGGACTTTCCAGACATCCAATGACATCCATACATCCCTTAAATGTTGGAAAGGTTGTGGAACAAAATGGCACCTATGAGATTCAATGAATATGTATATTAAAATTCAAACGTGTTTTCGAATGTTTCTTAGAAATTGGCACGAACTTTCTGGACAATCTAATACAAGAGGCTAGGGGGCACTGGGCTCAACTATAGCTATCTCGAAAGTCCTGAAAAATAAATCTGGATAGGATTCGTGATTTCGGCGAGATTAAGAAATTAAACACTGCGACAAATGTTAAGCTACCTAATCTTCAAAAGTCCCGAGACGTGTTAATTAGCTGCACATCAAAAATTAGGGGGTCGGACTGTATATTTCACTGTGAAAAGTTAACGCCAACTTCAGCGCGCGAATACCTAACGATGCGTAGAGAAAAATATAGAACTCGAGAGAATAAATTGCGAAACTATCGGCAGCAGGAGAACCTACCGCTTTAGTTCGCAGGAATTCTTTTACGACTTGGCTGGGATTTATACGAGCTGTAAGTGACAGAACCGACGAAAGCAGCTCGCAGGAGCGGAGGATAAATAAAAGATACGATGGTAAAACGAATGGAGCCGTGCGCCAACTAGCTGGCGGATATTCTCGACCCGCGCGCATAGTTTCCTCGTAAAATTATCATTCCGCGAGACGAGATGATTTTTGTTTAATCGTCGTAAGTTTACGGAAAATCAAATTTATTAATCGAAAATAAAGCGAACGAACGAACGAACGATGTTTACAACTTATCTTATAATTGAAATTATAGCACGTGTGTATACTGTTAGTTTTGGTTTCAATCATTGAAAAAGATCTTCTGTATTATTTTCGAGAAATGAATATTTTACGAGTTATTTACGAAAAACTTCCTATACGATTCCACCCCCAGTTTTAATTAAAATTTGTATACCAAGCTATATAATTCGAGAAGTATTGACCATACAAACTTGATTCACAAATCGGAATATTCATTTGTTTAATATCCAGAACTTTTAATAATCTGATTTACGTTCATTATAAAGTAGAATAAAACCAACACCTTTATTCGATAAAATGATTATTTTAATTAAATATCCAGTGCAATGCATAAACAAACCAGTTTGAATAGAAATTTGATGACCTCACGAGATATTTTAAATAATTATCCGTATCATAGAAAATGCTCGAACGTTTGCATGCACCGTTGCACTTGTAAATATAAAAAAACATGGCCCTACAAATACGGTACACTTTGAACCATAACTATAATTTTACAGGCACAGATCTGATCAAACCTCCGTGCCCCACGATACCTTTCCCAATTGTACGTCTATCTTTCGCCATTGTATAAGTCGATATTGTATAAGCCATGTTTCAGAGTTCTTAGAGTGAGAGAGAGAGCAACCTGTTTCAGAGCGAGAGGCAGAGCGAGGAGAAATCGCGTGTCCAGGATTACGCGCGGAGTCCTGGGATTGGCCATGGGAGATTTTCGTTCCCCGAGGTTTGTTAGACCCGATGTCAGGGTTCCACGGCGTTGAAGCGAGCTGACATCTCGGACCCACGAGCGGAGCAGTGTCATCCCCCTCAGTGCACACGCGAACCCATCCCCATCACGGACACGTCCCAAACACGAAACAGACATCACCGATACTCTCCCTCTTCGATGTCCTTCAACGTTCCGGTTGTTACGCTTTCCTTCGAACGCCGTAAGCATTATAAACCTTATTCCCATTTATCCGAGACCGCGTATCGTATTTTCAACATCCTATATGTACTCCCTCCTCGGTCAAAGGGTTAATCAGCTTATAACTTTCCATGTTTTCCAACTACGGTAACTCGCGTATTGTTGTATTCTATAGATCCTGGCTGTAGATCCTCGTATCGAGACGGTTCGGACGATTCTCTGGTTCAAAGGGAAGAGTAGCAGGCTTTATAGGTTCGGGAAAGATAGAAAATGGAAGGATAGGAATTATCGTGAGTTTAGTGGTCGGCAAAGGATAGGTAGCGAGGTCGAGGTCCGGGATGACTAGTCAGGATGAAATCGTCAGTTATCGAAGGAAGAAATTTGGAATGTTTGTTGCTGGAGTTTGACGGAGGATGAGAAGAAGACAGTTATCTTGACTAAAGCTAATGCAAAGACTATGTTGGCATACAACAGTATATTTTAGAGAAACCAACGGAAAAAATCACGACGAATTAGAGGTCTTTAGGCCCGATACTTTGCGAGAAAAGAAATCCGCAGAAGTACGGCATAATTTTCGTTCCAACGAAGCAGGAAACCCCCTTTAACGCAAACAAAACACCGTGAACGGACATCTCGAAGACTGACGAGCGAATAATGAATTCGAGAAACCGAAAACGATAAATTAGCGATACTCAAGTTAACTCGACGATCTGGTTGACGTAACGGCAAAAGGGGCGCGGAGTCAACGACTCGATGGCAGCGGTTGAAAACGTTGTGGGACCGAGCACCCACTCGAACGAAACTCTTTTCTTCGAAATCGAACGAGAAAAGCGAAGTGTGTCTCGCCGTTTCAACGTTTCGCTAGTGGCATGCCTGGCCGCGACAAAGCGCGCCATTGTGGGATCGATTTCTAGTGCGGCGACGATTGTCGCGGTAACGACGAGGGTGACACACGCGGCAAATGTCGCCTGTATAAAGAGCTAAGAAGCAGCGATACTTGTGGTCGACGTCGATAATAATAATAAAAAAAAAAAAAAAGAAAGAAAAAAATAGTGAAAAAGGAACTGGGCCAAAACAGGCAGGACACTCGATGTCACACCAGAGCCCGGATTGTTGTTTGACAGGGGCACCCGTTCTTTGGGTCGCTGGCTTTTGTCGTCTTGCCACAACGACTTCTCATTGTGCGGGGATTCCCGACGTCGAGTGACTTCGATGCGACGGTTTTGTGCCGCTCGCGGTATCGCATAGGCCTGCAAGTGTTTTTGTTAGGGATGGATGATGTCGTTTCTGGTGGAAAGGTTGGGCGAGAGTTAATCGTTGCGAAAATACACAAATTTGAATATTTATAGAATTTTGTATGGTTCGGTAGTAGACACACACGTGACTCTGAAATCACACATTTAAATCGAAATTCATTTGATCTAAATCCGTAGGATCACCTACGAACACTCCAATCGCAACAATTACTTCGCAATCGTATTATCCTTTCGATTTATATTAGGTTGTCCCGAAAGCGACTTGCACGCAATTATTTGATGTGATCGTGTTTATATAAATAGACAATCTAATTTCATAGACATACATGTCGTAACAGTAATGAAGCAAAATGAATCGTGCATAATTCGGTAATGTAATATAAAATATCGTGCGTGTATTACTGATTAA